ATATTTTACATAGCAAAAACACATAAGCATATAATTATAAACTTTAAGAAATGCATTTATTCACTGAATTTTTCTTAGTTTATCATGTGAGCAACCATTTCAACTTTCAACCTTATATTCAACCTTAGAGCTATCCATATTGTATATAAGCAGAGAAAAAAACAGAAACAATAATACACATTAAAAGCAAAATAAAAAAATTCAGAATTGATTAACTTGTCAAATGAATGTAGCCTTTAAGTGTATAAGAATATAAACAGATAATATGAATTAAATTTTGAAAATTTTTCTTATAGGGAAGATAAGTAAAAATGTTATTAAATGGACATATAAATATGGGCAATGTTATTCAAATATTCTGGAAATAATAAAAGTCCATTCCCTTTTGAAAAATCAATTACAAATACATTTCATGGGATCTCATATTCTGATTTTAAATTTGTTTGAAAACATTTAGAAAGAAAAAAGAAAATCATTTTGAAATAAAAACTAAATACATTATGACAATTTACCTGTGTATCTCCTGTTCTATGTAACCCTACTGAGCTATAATAATAATGAAAGTTAGTTATGAGACTCGATATTTAAAAAAATGCATTTTAAAATTATGTTTACAACTCATGCCATTGTGATATTTCATGCCTTCCCTGAAGTCTGTCATGGAAGAGTCATAAATCCCCCCCAAAATGAATTCTAATATAAACATCTGAATTTAAGCAGACCATTTGGGTTCTTCAATTATGTGTTTATTGGTAGACAAGAGAGAAAAGTACACTTATTTCTATCCACCATTTCTTTGGGGCCTCTGTAACAGTTGCAGATTATTAAGAATGAAAACATGAAGATTTATCTACACAATATTTCATAAAGATGAGAAGAACAAAAGAAACTGAAATCTGTGGGCGTTTGGATTTGGTGGACATAAGAACTGCAGGGAGGTAAAGTGTTTGCAATGGAGGCTGTCAAGGTCATCTGCCAGGCCTCTTGTTTTTCAGTGTTCTCTATACCTTTTGCTTTTGACGTAAGATTGTTGCTCTTCTGTGGGTGTAGAGGAGGGTAATTCTCATGTAGGGGTCACAGAACCTCTTTCAGTAGAAGGTCCAAAAGTCTTCTTTATACACGCTATTTCTCAACTCCCTTCTGTGTTGAACTTCTACAGAGGCATTCACTGTTTTCTCCTGAGTGGGTGTTAAACCCTTTTGGGAATGAAAATACTTCCACTGAAAATGTTTTACAGACCATGGTATTTACAACTGTATCTCAGAGAAGGCAGAAAATGTCTCAAAAAAACAAACAAACAAACAAAGAAACAGAATTTAACTATGATCTCTTTCATACAGTCGTGACATATTATAGTGCCAAATGGATTTTCAACTTGAGACTCATGGTTTCCTTTGATATTTACAGGTGCTGGAGAAATAAAATAATTTTTTAATTTCAGATTATTTAAAGTTTCCATAAATGTATGTTTTTGAAATATACACTTTTAAATTTGTATTTTACAATATTCTACATAATCTGCCCCAGAATAAAACTCTGACTCCAAGGAAAATAAGGCCAGGGTAAATGTTTTTCCATATAAAAATGTAATTTTTCCAATAAGAACTAGATAATCAAAAGTCTTACTTGGGTATGGAGATTCAGAGTTTGGGTCAGACTTTTGTAGATCTGATTGAACATAATTTCAGTGTGAGAAAATGAACAGTTTGATTCACTGAAATGAGTAGAAAAATCCATCATTGGTATTTTCATCAAGAATTTTCTAGTTCAAATTCTCTTCACATTCAGAATTATTATAGATTAAAATTCTAACCCTATAACAGACTGTAGGTTTTCAGTGCTCCAAAGGCTCAAAAAAATCAATTCATAATTCCATCCTATGTGTTCGTTGAAGGTATGTGAAGCACAGTATCTTTTATTGTAAATCTCTTCTGGAATTACATTTTTTTTCACTGCCCTTTTCTCACTGAGAAGCTGATCAACTTTCACAACTATTTCTAATAGTTTCTCTAGAAATTTTTTCCCATCTTCTCAGTGTATATTTACTACTGCTGTGTAACTTACAACACCAGTTACAATGATGAGCTTTATACATCTGCTTCCCACTCACACCTCTGATGCGGCTCATACTAAAAGTATCAATCAGTTTATTTTCATACACTTATTTAGAAAAGAACCTGACATGGAATTAGTGCTTCATTTACTGCAGAAGAAATGCAATATTCACATACATATGGTGCTCTAGTTACACTACTTTGAAGCATTAATATCATTAAACTTTATCAATCAAAAATCAGGAGTGAAATATTGGGATAATAACCTGAAAGATCAGAGAACAGGGAGCAGCTGTCCATTGCCTCCTACTTCTTCAATTCTACCTTCCAAAAGGGTTGAGGTCTTCTCAACCTCATCTTACTACTTCCTGTCTCCTCTCTCTACAATTCTCCAGGCCTCTATGGTCAGCTAATAGCTAGCTCTACTTTCTGTCTCCAAGCAGCTTTATTTATCAGAACACAATAAAAATATCACACAACATTTTCCCCATTTTTGTCTAAATAAAATGTGAAGGTTTTAACTAACATAGTAAAACTTTATACAATAAGTACAGTAATCATATACAAATACATACAAGCAAGAATTACATTAAAAGTATCCAGTCCAGTTGCATTTGGCAAATTCAGAAAAAAAAACCACTCCATTATCTATTCTATTTGGTGAGTCCAAAGTCTTGTACCTAATTCACTTTCTATCCTAACTTGCTTTACCAACCGCAAACTACCTTTTCATGTCTCTAAACTTACATACATTACAACTCTTTTGTGAGTGTCTCTTCTGAATTTGTTAACAAGGAAAACTATAACTATCTAGTGTTCAACTTCATCAGAGACCTGAGAAGAAATATTATCTGAGTAAACAGGAAGTGCAGAACAAACAACTTCAAAACTAAAAAATGACAGAAATAGCTGGCTGCCCAGACAGTCACCCAAGATTCCATTGTAACATTGGAGCATTCCTCTTCAGCCTGCCGGTCTAGAATATCTGACAGACTTTTCTGTGAAGCAAGAATTTTAAATGACTCTTCCACCTTGTCTTGGCAAATTTTGGCAGTCACTTTCTCTTTGTGTTCTGCTTATTCAAATTGGAGAGCAATTGTCAGCAGTCAAGAGAAAGGGTAGCTTCTTGCTCAGTGGTTAACTTTTGCCACAAAGAAAGTAAACTCCATATGCAGTTTCTGTGATGCCATCATCTTCTCTGAAGTAGATTGTTGCTGCTAGGAGCAAACATGTCCCATTGTCATAAAAAAAAGAAACTTATGTTATTAAAACATCTTAAATGCCATATTCCACAGATCTCTGAAGTTTTTCAAGGCAACATGTCTATGTAAAATATATGTTCAACCTTGAAAACAAACCTAGCATGACTACAAGTTTGATTGTAATAAGTGACTAACTACCAACCTTCATTTCTTTATTATACTAATAGTTTTTAATAATAACATCCAAGGATTATAAATGTACATTACATTGTTAAATGTGCTTTATAGGTAAAATGCCTTGAACAAGAGTAGAAACATATATGCAGCATGATAAAATAACCCATTTTTTTGTATCAATATACAAAAACAAATACTAATGTAAAATACTTAAGACTAACAGTTCCATTTTTTTAATTAAAAATAGATTTAATAATTTGTTCTTTTATCCTATCATTTCTATATCATTCCTTTTTCTTTTCAGAACAAGATCCCTGAATCTAATTCCTTTGTTCAGCTTTTTTCTGATCATAACCAATAACAACTTGTAACCAATCCCCCTAAATGATGACAAATAACCAAAAATTGCCTACCCCACCACATGGGAATGTGGGAATTATGTTCTTAAAATTACTTCTTGGAATTTTGGAGTGACAGCATCTTTAGGGAATCCTGAAAAAAATTATTAAGAGAGAGCTAGTTTGTTGTCCAGTCTTTATATAATGGAAAGTGCAGGTCTTATCTCAATTGGCTAGAGTAGTCTGTGAGGCTGGATAATCTCAGCTAGCCAACTTGAAATTGTCCTGAGCAGTTTATAGTCCAAAGCCGGTCTTTGAGTGGTGTTTGTCAATGCAGTGGCTTTACCATAGTCCCGGTGGAATATTAGTTGTGAGGCCTCATCCTACTCTTGGAGACTTCAAAGGTCACTGTTAGGTATTTGGCATGGTTCACTGCAGGAAGCTTATGCATTTTAAATGTCATATTAAGCAAATCCCAAAGAGATTAAAGGACCATAATTTGTTATATACATCCAGGGTACAAAAACTTAATTCCTAGGTTCCTGATTAGAGACTTAAACCAAAATCATGTACAGGAAGCTAGATGAAGCCTTTTTCTAGAATTACTTAGTACTCTATATGACCATTAATATCAAGACAAAAATTTTAATACATATGCATATATATTAATTTCATAAATTTTGAGATAATACTTATACCTTAAGAAAAGTGTTAAAGAATCAAAGGTTTATGAGATTAGTGGCAATGGAATAGTCCCTTAATGTTGTTTTTTTCTGTCCCATATCAGGTGGCTCTTCTGACATGAAACAGAGATTTGGGATTTTCCTTTAACGAGCTTGCTTGGTTTTAGAGAAAGAGAGTGTCATGCTCCAAGTCCAAAGCTAGCTTTGATTTTTAATTGAACTGGGAATACAAAAAGACCATTTGTATTATGTATCTGTAAAGAACAGTAGAAACTAACATTTGGAAATATTTATGGAATTTTATCTTGTTGCAAATGTTATATACCAATATCAATTTATTCTTTTTCTTGGGACTTTTTTTTAATGATTTGTCCTTTTTCTTCAGATGTCTCATTTGTCCAGTGGTCTTCAGGTTCCTTAGTTGGATGTGTTCATCCTCCTAGAAAGACAAAAACAAAACCTAACCCCAACCTAAACTTTGGGGAGTTTCTCTTTGACAAGTTATGTATGATCACATGAAAAGTACTTGTTATTCTTATAAGTTAGTTCAGATTGAATTGTCAGGCTGTTTGATGAACTATCACTTCTTCTAATCAAGAGATCTCTCTTATTTAAATCTAATCTTTAGCAATTTTAATGGTATCCATAGCTTTTCTTCTCCTGTACAATGTCATGTATTCATATTTTTAACTTTGAGTTTTGGTAATTTATAGAAGATTGCCAAAATATTTGCATTATGATTTCTCCTGAAATTTTTGTTTTATCTTCTAAAGCTATTCTGTCATTCAGATCAGTATGTTTTTGTTTGTTTTTGTTTTTTTAAAATAAACATTAGGTCTTTTAATTACTCTGGGAAGAAGTTTACCCCATGGTGACAGGGAATATTTGAACCAAATTTGACATGAAGGCCTTTGAGAAGCCCCCAAGGTGTTTCCCAACAGCAAAGGGTCATCTTTTCTGTCCCATTTATTGGTCCAATGTTGGCCTTTACTGTACCTCTGCATAATCCAGATGGCAGGGTCCTTCTGTTTGGATTATTCCTAGGGGAAAAAAAACATTATTTCTAGGAATGTTCTGACTATAATCAGTTTTGGGGTGACTTTGTTTATCACTATTAAAATATCTGACATTTTGATTTTTCTGCAAATCTCTGGAAATGATCTCTCCTATTCAAGCCTCATCATGGTTATGAAATTCAATACTGACTGTATCTTGCATCCATTGCTCTATGGGTGCTGATATTGTGTTTAAGGGTATAATTACCCTTTTGCATTGTGAATTAGCATTTTCAAAAGCCAAATATTTAATTAGTAATTGTCTAGGTTCTGAATTTGTTCTATTTACATCTGAAGTCAGTCTTCATAAAAACTCAGTAAAGATTACTTTGGGCTTTGCATAACTTTTTAAAATTCTGTCCCATGCATTCAGAGCTGCTGCATGGCATAGAGCCAAGGTGTGGTTATCCTATATAGACTCTTTGTACATCAGCATTATCACATTCTCCAAGAAGTTGGTCTTGGGGAATTTTCATTCTGCTTTCTTTTTTTATTTAATATTTATATGTTATAATTAACTTAATTTCACATATCAGCCATGGATTCCCCCATCCTCCCTCCTCCCACCCCCCAGCACTCCCTCGTAATCCACTCCCCATTCCCACCTCTTCCAAGGCAAGGTCTCTCCTGGGTAGTCAGCCCAGCCTGGTAGACTCAGCCAAGGCAGGTCCATTCTCCTCATCTCTACACCAAGGCTGAGTAAAGTATCCAAGCATAGGCCCCAGGCTACAAAAAGCCAGCCCATGCACCAAGAACAGGTCCCAGCTCCACTGCCTGGGGGCCTCCCAAACAGTCCAAGCTAATCAACTGTCTCAGTTATCCAGAGGGCCTGCTCCAGTTCCATGGGGGCTCCTCAGCCATTGGTTCACAGTTCATGCATTTCCACTAGTTTGGCTATTTGTCTTTGTGCTTTTTCCAATTATGGTCTCAATATCTCTCGCTCATACAGTCCCTCCTCTCACCAATTGGACTCCTGGAGCTCCACCTGGGGCTAGGCCATGGATCTCTGAATCCACTTCCATCCGACACTGGATGAGAGTTCTAAGACAGCCAGGGTGTTTGGCCATCCAACCACCAGAGTGGGTCAGCTCAGGCACTCTCTCAACCATTGCCAGTAGTCTACAGTGGAGGTATCTTTGTGGATTTCTGGGGACCTCTCTAGAACTCTGCTTCTTCCTATTCCCCTGGGGTCTACATTCATCATGGTATCTCCCTCCCCATTCTCCCACTGTGCTCCTGATCCAGCTGGGACTTCCCACTCCCCTAAATTCTCTTTCCCCTGAACCTTGCCCTCCATTACACCCCCACCCCCAGTTTGCTCATGTAGATTTCATCCATTTCTCTGTCATTGGGCGATCTCTGTGTCTTTCTTGGGGTCCTCTTTACTAGGTAGCCTCCCTGGAATTGTGAGTTGCAGTCTGGTTATCCTTTGCTTTACATCTAGTATCCACTTATAAGTGAGTTTATACCATGTTTGTCTTTCTGATTCTGGGTTACCTCACCCAGGATGATTTTTTCTAGTTCTATCCATTTGCCTGCAATCGACATGTAGAACAATTGAACCAAACTGAAGACCCTGACATTGATCCACACATGTATGAGCACCTAATTTTTGACAAAGGAGCCAAAACTGTACAACGGACAAAAGAAAGCATCTTCAACAAATGATGCTTTGTCAACATGACAACATGTAGAAGGCGGCAAATAGATCCATATCTGTCACTGTGCATAAAACTTAAGTGCAAGTGGATCAAAGACCTCAACATAAATCCAGTTACTCTGAACCTGATAGAAGAGAAAGTAGGAAGTAGTCTTGAATGCTTTGGCACCAGAGATAACTTCCTAAATATAACACCAGTAGCACATACACTGAGAGAAACAATTAATAAATGGGACCTCTTGAAACTGAGAAGCTTTTGTAGGGCAAAGGACATGGTCAACAAGACAAACCGACAGCCTAGAAAATGAGAAAAGATCTTCACCAACCCCACATCTGACAGAGGGCTGATATCCATAACATATAAAGAACTCAAGAAATTAGACATCAAAATACCCAACAGTCCATACATTGTTTAAATATACTAAGACCAGCATCAGATCTGACCATTGGAAATTCTCTATGTTCAACATAGGTTTTTATGTTCTGTAATCACATAGGAGAAGAAGTTTGTTTTAATGTTCCTAGAGTATTTCATGGGAGATGGCTATGGTTATGTGAGTGAGAAAGGGAAGAATCTGAGAGAAAGTATCCATTTAAGGATATGCTTTGTTTTAGAACTTTAATTTTTTTATTTTTTATTCATTTACTTATTTTACATTCCAGTCAGAGCCTGCCCCCATCCTCCCCTCCCAGTTCCTCTCTTCCATTCTCCCTTCCTTCTTTGTCTCCATCCAGGAAAGTGGAAGTCTCCTTTGAGTACCAATAAGACATGGCATATCAAGATGCAGTAAGACTAATTACCTACCCATGTATTAATGATAGGCCAGGTGACCCAGTATGAGCAGTAGGATCCCAAATGCCAGTAAAAGAGTCAGAGAAAGCCTCTGTTTCTACTGTCATGATTCCCATAGGAGAACCAAGATACACAACAGTAACATATATGGAAGACTGCCTACCTCAGTTTCATGATAGCTCAGTGGTTGTCATTCAGGCTCTGTGAGCCCTGTGAGCCAGATAACTTGATTGTGTGAGCCTTTCTGTGGTGTCCTTGACCCCCTTGGCTCCTAACACTCATTTTTTTCTTTCTCCTCCAAAGGATTCCCAAACATAACCTAATGTTTGGCTGTAGTCTCTGCATCTGCCTTTATCAGTTGCTGGATGATGCCTCTTGGATGACTATTGGGCCAGGCACCAATCTGGTCACAGGAGATGTCCAGTTTAGGCTACTTATCTACTATTCCTAGGATTCTCAGCTGGGGTCCTCCCCAGAGACATCTGGGAGGTTCTACTGTAGCAGGCTTCTGTTGGACCCTAAAATGCTCCCCTATCAGTACCCCTCAGCACTCTCCCGCTCCCTGTCCCACGCCAACCTGATCACTCCTGTTTCCATCCCACCTACCTTTAATCCACTCATGAAATCTCATCTCCTTTCCATTCCCAGGGAGTTCTGGTGTCCCCCTCACATGAACTCTCCTTGTTACCTACTGTCCCTGTGTTTGTGGGTTGTAGCATGGTTTTCCTTTATTTTGCAGCTATTATCCACTTATGGGTGTCTTTATCAGCCTAGGTTACCTTACTCAAAATGATATTTTCTAGGTCCATCTATTTTGCCTTAAAATTTCCTAGTTTTCTAGATTTTAATAACTGAGTAATACTCCATTATGTAAATGTACCATGTTTTCTTTCTCCATTCCTCAGTAGAAGGACATCTAAGTTTTTTTCCAGGTTCTGGACATTACAAATAAAGCTGCTGAGAGCATATCTGAGCAATTGTCCTTATAATGTGTTTGAGCATTCTTTAGGTATATGCCCCAGAGTGCTATACCACTATGGTCCAGCTTTAACACACAGACAAGATAGCAGTTCTTACAAATGTTATTTTATATTTGAATCATAGACCAGAGCTTCCTCAAGTTTAAATCATCAATGAAGTAAATGTATTTACAATTAGTAGCTTGTAGTGTTAATTAAATTATAAAGAGCAGAGCATTTAACATAGAAAACATGAATATTGTTCAGTATCCTTTGGCCCAATTTAGAAAGATAAAATGTCTTACAGGTTTAGTTTAGTTTTTTTTTATTAAATAATATAGTTTATCTGAAGAGACTTAAGAGTGAGAGAAATGGAAAATTTTGCTGTAAAGTCTTTTCACTAATAACTCCATTTTGTTGAACTAATTTCTATCATCTTTCTGATGACACTTTATGTAATGATACAATTTTCATCATATCTCATTCTTTTTGTGAATGTAATTTACAGTAGATCGTTTTGATGCTTAATGTTTTTGAAGTAATTTTTACTCTAGAGTTCATGAGATTTGCTTTGGCAATAAAGAAATTGAATGCTACTTATTAAAGATTTAATCTACAGAACCCTGCACAAAGTGACAAGAGAAAGTACAGGCTGCGCCAGTGAATTGGTAGAATCTGCAATTAGCAGGAGGAAAGTTCAACACTTTATTTTCCTGGTAAGACATAACTTGTAGAATAGAGAAAAGCTGTAAGTGTAACCCATTGCCTTTTCTACTAATGAAGAGCCAAAGGATGGTGATCCACATGTTACATTGAAATGTTCTTTAAGAGAGAGTGAACCTGAATTTTTGTTTATTTGTTTCATTTAAAATTTTTTTTATACATTTTACATAGCAACCACAGATCCCATTCTCATTCCTCTCCTCCTTCATCTCCCCCCAGGCCTTTCCTCCTTAACCAATCCCCTCATCCCCTCATCAAAAGGGGCTTACCCTTGGGGAGTCAGCGAAACCTGGTACATTCAGTTGAGGCATAACCGAGCTCCTCCCTACTGCATTAAGGCTGAGCAAGGTATTCCACCATAGGTAATTGGGGAGATATAGTGTGTATCCCCAAAGCTTGCCCAAGGATCAGAGGACACAGCCAGCCACTAGATTAGACATAGAAGCTAGACAGTGGTGGCACACACCCTTAA